AAGTGTCAAATAGTGAATGTTTTTTCTTTTGCGTACGTATCCAAAAGAAAAATGAATATCCTTCTGTACAATGGTAATGGGCATACCAATTGCCTACTGACTGAACTCTTAATAAAGGATACGTTTTATTGTTGATATAAATTTTCAATTTACGTGACCGTTGCAAGGTAATAAACTTGATAAGTGAAATGGGTGAATTGTGAAGTATTGTTCGAATTGATAAACACGAGATTGTTTGTAGTTTGTACACATAACATTACACAGTGTGTATTTACTATCACAAACCTGTTAAGTGATACTAATTTGGAATATGAACTTCTTTAGAACAAAATACAACACTAAAAACTTCTGAGGTTTTGTCAAATGGAAGACTAAAATTGTTATAGGTATCAAAACCTTCATTAAATATTGTGACCAGTACCAAATGTGTAAGACAAAAACTAAAAGTGAGACCATGTTATAGGACATCAGCGGAAAACAAGGTCAAAGTGCTAGTTTTATTAATAATAGAAAATAAAATTCTTTAAGACACACCTTAATCTATCTTGATAAAGAAAACTGAAACCCGAATATATCAATATTGATACGAAGAGACTACCAATCATCATAAAAGTCTAAAATAATTACTGATCTGAATAAGTACATTTAGAATCACTATTTTTAATGCAAGAGTAATTTTAAATGATGAAATTGTGCAAAAAAAGTAGATGGAAAATTGATCAGTTGTTTTTATAAAAAAAACACTTGAACTGTTTGATTCATCATCATAAGGTTGTCAGTCCTAAGACTGGTTGGACACGCACCTCCATTCTTTCCTATCCTGAGCTAATCTTCGCATTGCCCTAAAAGTAAAACATAACTATTTGTATTTGCGAATCTAGGTCTACCTCTACCTCTCCCGTTTCTGCCTCTAATATATCATTGACTTTACCTTCATGTCTGAGAAGGTGTCCTACCAACCTATCTCGTCTATTTCTTATTGACTTCCATAGAGTCCTCTGTTCTCCTATTCTTTCCAAAACGTTTTTATTTCTAACCTCTATCCACGGTATTCTCATCATTCGCCTGTAACACAACATTTTGAACGTTTCTAACCTTTTCTTTTGCGCCGCGTCCACTGTCCATGTTTCGCACCTGTACAGCTTCGCGCTCCAAACATACACCCTCAACAATCTTTTTCGAATTTTGTAAATTAACCGTTCGCGAGCATAGAAGTGACTTCTTTTTATTGAAGGCGACTCGACCCTGCGCTATCCTCTGTTATCAGCCACTTCGTCTCCTATCTTCATATTTTGATTATGACTTCAGCGTTTTATGTACTCAGGTTGTATGGTTCACCATTAAATTAAAGACAAAATTTACCGGCATTGCAAAACGGTAGATATTATTCATATGTACTTATCTACCTACATATATGACTCAAAAATTTTTTTAGTAAGCATTTATTATCTAAAACTGAAGTTGCATCAACTAACCTCGTTAAACTTAGATTTGAAACAGTTCTACTCGAATACTTTCACAGCGGTCTGCTTTCCATGTACTTATATTTGTTTTTAATAAAGATATTGTTTTTGTAATTAAGTATGTAATTACTAAAGTAACAGTTATCGTTACGTAAACTAGACTATAAAACATATTTTAAAGAAAAAGCGAACAATGATTTAGTCATTTTGTAATATACTTAGGTACTTATCCATTTCCGTTCTGAGATGACGTTGGCTTTTATTAAAATGGATCTTTTGATCAATTTTTTTCTTGTAGGGCCTACGCTAAGTACCCACATGCTTCGTATTCTAGGTGGGTTGGTGAACTTGGTTTCGGTAGCGCGATATTAGCTCTAAATGACAGGATCAAAATTAATGACTTTATCGACTAATAAAAAACGTTGTATCCGGCGCCTTTCGTTTTGTTCCATTAATGAAAAATTAAAATCGCAGCACATACATGCGTACCTACGCCTTCTTTTACACATTCATAAAAAACTGATGTCGCAAGGAAGTTCGTTCGTATCATTATTCATTAAATTTTAAATTTTCTTGCGGGTTAGCTGAAAATTCTGTTTGAAGTTCAGCTAGTAATGAGCAAAGCAAGTCTAAGATCAAGACTATCCCAGTCTTGGTATTTGGATTAATCTTTGTCATTTAATTTAATAGTTACATTTTTTTTTAATTTTTCTGAGCACAAATTTTTCTGTTTATCGACACAATAATTGTCTTAAATATTGAAAATTTCTGTCATAAGTACATGTAAGCTTGTCATGACTTTTAAAGAGAATGGTGTCGATAGTTGTGAGAGTTATCGAAACTCAGTAACTTAATGCATAAAGGTCTCATTCCCCAACGCAAAAATAGTGCAAGGTACTTGGAAAAAGTAAAGAATATCGAAAAAAAATTAGTTTTTCTCTATATTTTAACCATGTGTTATCTAGACAATGAAAAAAGCAACAGTTACTCCGAGGATATTCTTATGGATCCTATTTTTCAAACAATGGTAAAGTATTTTTTATATTTAGTATTAAAATCTACTAAAGCAAACTGAAAATTTCAAGTACTAAAAATGTTTCGTTCCAAGAAAAGAATATATTAAAGTAGCTTCATATATTGTAGTTTAACTCGTAAATCCACCGGAAGTAATAATTTTTCGTTTAATTTTGTGTATTTAATCTTGGTATTGCATATTCGGTCTTGGTCTTTTTTTTTCGGTTTTAGTTTTGGTTTTGTTTGTTCGGTCTTGGTACTGATCTTGTGAAAATACTACTACTAAAGACTATGAGCAAGACCAATTTAGCTCATCACTGAGTTCAACGTTAACGTAGATTGAAGCCACGAACTCGTGGGTCAATTTTTAGTGGCCCTATTTTTCAATTTACTTCGAGTTTTTCCGAAAATGCAAAGGGGCCTTTTCCATACAATTCCTCTCGAAACTTAAAAAAAGTTATTCAATTTTTTTTCCTTGCAAAAACTTTTTCTTTCTTATCCTTCTTAAGGATGTTTGGGAGGTACCTACAATCGGAAACAAGAGTACATAAAATTAGAAATTCGTGATTAATTAGGTTTTGCAGCATATCATGAGGTAAATAAATACTATCTATACTAAAAAAACAGGATACGGTTTGAAAGAAAATTTGGAATTTGACCGAAAACTTTGAATAAAATAAAAAATAACGAATAATATGGAAAACTTTTAACTGACTTTTGGCATGGAATATGCCTTGATTTCAACTTCGAAACAANTTTTTTATTAACTAAAACCATTAATAAAACGTGCAATCAATAAATAATAGTTATTTTCAAACAAAGATAATTACAGCTTCGGTTGATTGCGTTGTTTTTTTTTTTTTTCCTGTTTTGATATAACTGTGAATTATAAAGGTATACAAGGTGTTGCCAAAAAGTCCCAAGAAAAACGCCAATAGTTATTGTCATATTGGCCATTTTACTGATCGTATGTGCCTAATTATTATATGTAGAACGTTAAGTTAAAGTACATTTGGTTCTATGGAACCTTCCACAATATCAATCAAGCGCTAATGGAGAGATTGTGTAGTCCAATTAATTAAAAATTAAAATCTAAATTACAGTAACACAAAAAAACAAAAAGCAGATGGTATTCCATATAATTTTGTTTCAACGCTAGTTCTTCTCGGAAAACTAAGACAGTGAAGAAAAATTGAAGAAGCTATTTTTCTAGAGCACATGAGTTCGTTAAGGCAAATATTTTAAAACTTGTAGAAGTTAAGACAAAAACTTGTGACGAATTTCATTGATTTTATGACAGAAAATCTAAAAATTAGACTACAGACAGTAATAAATGCTAATGTATTTCAAATGTTTATTAAACATTCACTTCAATATTGATCTGGAAATGTTTGTTTGTAGAAATTATATTTCCTACGTTAAAATGGGTCGAAAGTATTCATTTGAAATCTTTATAATAATTTATCTCGTTTTACTTTATCAGTTTGTACATTACTCATACTGTGCATTTTTGATTTCTTCAACTTCCGGTTGTTAATATTTTCACTCAATAATTATCTAATAGTCCTCGTGATTAATTACAAAGTGAAATGTAATAGCCATACATTCGTAGACACCATTTAGAGATTATGTAAAAATACTTTCTTCCAATATGCATATGATAAAATCTAAAGAAATACACAGTTAAATATATACATACCTACACATTGAAAATGACTTTGTTTTTTTTTGTGCTAACTTGAAAGAATGTTTATATAAGCAAGAAAAATTTCATAATCAAATTGTTTTTTTATATCATTGTAAGAACATACATGGTAATAAATCGTTTTTTTTTTCTAAGTTTTCTCTACGAAAATTCTTGTGTTAGGACATGATAAAAATCATCGATAGATAAACGAAATCAGATCAGAATTTAGGAAATATTCAAAATCATCTCCCTGACATAATAATTTATTAATGTACAACTTGCTTAGGTACCTACCACATTTCCCTTCGGGGTAGTAACCCCATCAGAAATTTTAAAAAACTACCAACAAAAATTTCAACATTTTAAAAAATTCAACCTCCCCAAGTTGCTGAAAGGGGTTTCCGAAGATTGCATGGAAAATTTTTGTTTTTGTCCAGATTTACTTTAAACTTGGTCTTAAAAACCCTTAAGGATGAAATGTTGTTGCTATGTTTGTATTTGAAATCTAAGACATCACATAAAATTAAAAATTTGCAGGGGTAAATTGGGAGTTACAACGTTTTATGGAGAAACAATATTAATTTCTGCGCCGCTGGGAAAAGCTACTAGTGATTTATAAAATTGAAAATTTGAAAGAATTGATAAGGAAACTTAATACCTAATATCCCTATGTTGGTCTTACACATAAAGCATTTGTTGTATTTTCAAAGAAACACGATCATTTACAAAAGTGAAGACGTGCATTGGAAATTAAGGATTTAAACTCCTCGATTTATAGTAAAATGTTGTTGCGGTGGTATCTCTATAAGCGAGTACCACTTTCCACCAAGACTTACTCTAAACTCCGTTTTCATTTCCGCATTCAGCATCTTGCTGTTGCACTTATAATCACAATCGTCATCGGGAACAACAATAACACTCTCTTTGTTCTCGCCGCCGACGCCAGCGCCGTTCACTTTCAAACACTTGCCGTTGTTTTCCGCGAATGTGCCGTTATTGCAGTTTTTCCCCGTCGGGGGCTTTCTGTACCGGAACTTGTTGATCATGGCGCTTTAAAGGGCTTACCCGTCATACTGGTCCTGTCGACTACGACAACAACAATAATAATAACGATCGACAACCAGTTCCAAAGTTCGCCCTACGGCGATGGGCGACCCGAAAAACCACTCTTAGCGTCCGACAGAACAACAATAACACGGCAGAACAGGTAGATTTTGACTATCTCTACTAGATACTACTACTACTACTATCTGTTATATGCCACGTAATGTATTTAATGCGTCCGCCAGCTTTCTCTACGGTTCAATGCAAACTGAGCCAAGTGAACTTTAACAAACGAAGCCCGTTTCGTACCTGTCTGTAGCCGGCCAAGAGCTTTTCGTCGTAGTAGCTGCTGCTGCTGGACGTTCACGTGGGGGCTTCACCGTTTCACTTCATTTCAGCATCAGGTCGCGCGTTCGTTTTCGATTCTTAATAAACGTGCCATAAGGTAGATGTACAGTACGTCTAGAGTAAAGGTAAAAGAATATCAAATCACCTGTGGTCTCTGCGGATATGGTAAAGTACTTAGTGAGTATCGACGAATATGGTACCCAATACCTCCACCATTTTTTATTTTATAAGCGATTTTTTTAAGATTTACCTTCTATTATAAGAAACTAGTCAACCATTTTGAAATGGTTTATTTTTTGTTAAGTAGATTCAGTACTGGGCGTTCCTACCATTACAATTTCTTCATATCCTTGGCATATATTAGTTATAAAAAATAATAAAACAATTGATGCAAAAATCGTTTATTTAGGGTCAATTTATTAAAGAACTTCTTCGGGACCACCATGTCGTAAAAAAGGTGGTTATTATCACATTTAACGAATTTAGTCAATAAAAAATAGGCGGGATAGGTTGGTAGGGCACCATCTCAGACATGAAGGTCTAGTCAGAGACATATTAGAGGCAGAAACAGGAGTTAGGAGGGGTGGAGGTAGACCTAGATTAGATTATTGTTCGCAAATAGTTAAGGATGTGGGTTGTTCTAGTTCTAGTTTTAGGGAAATGCGAAGTTTAGCTCAGGATAGGAAAGAGTGGAGGTACGTGTCCAACCAGTCTTAGGACTGACGACCTTATGATGATGATGAAGGCGATAGTACTGCGGAGATAGCTCTCCAAAGTACCAAAAATTGTCCCATCGCCATGAACTCAGATGCAGGTATACATAAAAATACTCGCAATGCGATATTGATATGCGGGTGTATAAGTGTATATCTTCAATGTCTTTGTCGTTAATTTTTTAATTTAGTTGGAGGGCAGATTTAAAGTCTAGGATTCCCCAAAAATGTAAGACACTTATTTATGAAATTTGGCGGACCAACAGGTGTATCAATTTTGTATAAATGAGCCAGCTCCACGCTAAATATTAACACCCTTTTTACTCAGTTCAGCTAGAAGATAGAATTGGGTTTGTTCAAATTTAAAAGGAAGTGGGCGTAAGGCGTGTTCAGAAAAAATTAACCTGTAGTATTTAGTTCATCATTAGCATTTAATTACTTAAAATAAAGAGATATTTGCCGTCCCCTCCGTCCAATTCATATATAAATATGCAACTGAATGTTACGTTGTCAACTTTTTTATTGTCCCTTCATTCAAGATTATTATTTGCGATTTATATTAATTACATATTTAATTTTACTAATATAAAGTGTTGTTTTATTATCAACTAAAACATTCAGATTTAAGGAGTACATAAATTGAACACGATACATTCTTTTATAAATTACTTTGGAAAACGTTTTCGTTTTTCCTATTTCATACAACTTTAATATAATTCGTATACGAACATCTTTATGGGTATCGGAAATCAATTGTAAGCATTTACCTGAATAAAAATAATGGTTGTAGATAAGAAAATTTTGCCAGGTAAAAGTTGAAGATAGGTCCATGGGTACAAACAACTACACCTTATTACGGTTGGAAGGTGCCCACTTCACAATAGGCGGTCATAAAACAGAAAGTCGGAGACAAAGGGGCCTTCAAGTGAAGTAGATGGTTTATAAGAACTTGCTATATATTGACTGGTTGCTATTTAAGTCAGTAATTTGAATATTTGGTAATTTAGATTAAATGTAAAATAAATTAAAGGAATAAAATTAAATTTTCATGAAATTTTTGGTTCACAATTAGGGTTGCCACCTTTTCAGGCTTTACATAAAGTATTTCTCGACTAAATGGTTAAAAAAAAGTACTCAGCATAAAAATAAAGTATTTTATTTTTTTTTTCTAAAAACATATTTTTTGTTANTTAAGTAACTGCCATTATCCATGTACAATATGCATGTATGTTTCTTATGTACACTGAACAACGAAAGTTCTTATTGGACGGTATTCTTTTGTTCTCTTTGAAAAAGGATCGTAATGAGTGAATGACGCAGTACTATTCTATTTTCTATTCTACTTTGAAATTCTTATAAATAAGGTCTCTATTTTAATCGAATTTGTTTCATTCCTGATCCTGATCCATCAAAGTTAAGATTTCATGTCTCAAAACAATGAATTAGTGGCATATTTAGAGGACTAATATCCTTGTGAGGTGATACGATAAGTTGAAATAAATATGAAATATTTAGGATGTATGACCCCATAATCCTATATAAAAATGCAACAATCTAGAAGCTTGTTTGACACGAAAAAAGTCTCAAAGCATACAGCACAAATAAAGTAAGGCTGCAATAGTGAGTTTTCTATTTTATGTGGAATTATTGTGAGACAAATTGACTTTTTGTTTGTACACATAAGCCCCTATAGTCTAAGTCATGTAAAATGGCGGTTCAGGCAGTAAAACTGTCAACAAATGGCTGTTCTTGTTTGGTAGAATTAAAAGATTATGACATAATTCACACGAAATACGTTTTGCATTCTGTTAAGCTCAAAACAAAAGCGGTTTTAGATATTGTAAAATAAAAATATGGAAGAACCTTTTCAATAAAATTTTTTAAGCACCTGTCGTTTTCTCAAAGCGAACAATTCCATTTAGTAGCAAATTTTCAAAAATCAATTCTTCTTTCAAAAGTTGATTCCTGGACTACTCCATTTATATGCTACACAACATTTATTCTAAAAATACTTAGGGAAACTAACAAGTAATGATGAGCAAATAAAGACCAAGACTGTAAGACAAAGACCACTTTTGCTCATCACTACTAATAAATCAATTTTCTTCGTACGATGATTCACATATCCTAATAATTAGGAACATTCTTATTTTCAAAGTAAGTTTCTGTTTTGTCAGTATCATTCTCTCTCCCGGCGCATCCACCATTTTTTGTCAACATCATCACAATACTACATATAATATAAAGTACGGGTGGCAACCCTATTCACAATGTCAGCTTTAGGTAGAACCTAAGTTTTAGAGTATAAAAGTTTTCAAAATTAAGCATTAAAAGAATGACTTCCATGTCTTTGTTTTTAACTTTGTAGTTTTATTAACTTACTGAACTGTTAAGTACAAATACAGACTTAATAACTTTTTAATCTAGTGTAATTCCCTAAATAAGCGTATTGAAAGATTGCATTTACGTCATGGACAAAAACTAATGTGCTGGATGAAAGAATAAGTGTCAAATAGTGAATGTTTTTTCTTTTGCGTACGTATCCAAAAGAAAAATGAATATCCTTCTGTACAATGGTAATGGGCATACCAATTGCCTACTGACTGAACTCTTAATAAAGGATACGTTTTATTGTTGATATAAATTTTCAATTTACGTGACCGTTGCAAGTGAAATGGGTGAATTGTGAAGTATTGTTCGAATTGATAAACACGAGATTGTTTGTAGTTTGTACACATAACATTACACAGTGTGTATTATTTACNTTGGAGCGTTTGTGTGCAGAATTCTATCAATAATAAAAGTTCATTCTATTCCTTGAGATACAGTGGACGGAGGTGAAAATCAGGAACTCTAAAAGAGTTTTCTAGTTGAGGGTAAAGAGGTGGAAGCGCAGAGAAAAAGGTTAAAAATATCGAAAATTTGGAATAAAAGTAAATGAAGCCTTTAATAACATTAAATCATTTTTTTCATCTTTGGAAGAGGCTACTGCCAGACAGGCAGATATACAGTGTTGTCACAACAGTAAGGTTCCGTTGGACCGTTTGTGTACAGAACCCTAACACTAATAGACGTTCATTCAATATATTATTACAATATTCTTTGAATTGTTAGACTTACAAAAGAACCTATATCGATTTCATTATCTATCTAATGAAAGTCGAGTTATTAATTAAAAATCCTGCAACAGAGTTGAGGAAACCTATGTTTGCACGTGTGGGCTTTTCTAAATTATTGGTCACCATCATCATCATAACTATTGTAAATTCTAAGACTGGCTGGACACGCACCTCCACTCTTTTCTATCCTGAGCTAATATTCGCATTTCCTTCAAGTTAGAACATCCTACATCCTTAACCATTTGCAAACAGTAGTCCGATCTAGGTCTATCTCTACTCCCCTTAACTCCTGTTTCTGCTTCTAATATATCTCTCACTAGCTCTTCATGCCTGAAAAGGTGTCCTACCAACCTATCTCACCAATTTCTTCATAGAGTTCCCTGTTCGCCTTTTCTTTCTAACATCTCTTCATTTCCTACCTTCTCTATCCACGGTATCCTCATTATTCGCCTGTAACACAACATTTTGAACGTTTCTAACCTTTTCTTTTGCGCCGCGTCCACTGTCCATGTTTCGCACCTGTACAGCTCCGCGCTCCAAACATACACCCTCAACAATCTTTTTCGAATTTTGTAAATTAACCGTTCGCGAGCATAGAAGTGACTTCTTTTTATTGAAGGCGACTCGACCCTGCGCTATCCTCTGTTATCAGCCACTTCGTCTCCTATCTTCATATTTTGATTATGACTTCAGCGTTTTATGTACTCAGGTTGTATGGTTCACCATTAAATTAAAGACAAAATTTACCGGCATTGCAAAACGGTAGATATTATTCATATGTACTTATCTACCTACATATATGACTCAAAAATTTTTTTAGTAAGCATTTATTATCTAAAACTGAAGTTGCATCAACTAACCTCGTTAAACTTAGATTTGAAACAGTTCTACTCAAATACTTTCACAGCGGTCTGCTTTCCATGTACTTATATTTGTTTTTAATAAAGATATTGTTTTTGTAATTAAGTATGTAATTACTAAAGTAACAGTTATCGTTACGTAAACTAGACTATAAAACATATTTTAAAGAAAAAGCGAACAATGATTTAGTCATTTTGTAATATACTTAGGTACTTATCCATTTCCGTTCTGAGATGACGTTGGCTTTTATTAAAATGGATCTTTTGATCAATTTTTTTCTTGTAGGGCCTACGCTAAGTACCCACATGCTTCGTA